TAACAGAAAACCTGTCCAGGGCCACTCTGTGATCCCAGTCCCGGGCCGCTTATCCATCCCAATCCGCCCCTGCTCAGCAGCACTTTTTGAGCAGCTACAAGTCTTATTAGACCATTTAAATCTAAAGTGTATCCTACTGATCTCTAAGTAATATGCACACCTGCATTAATAACCGGATTGTTAGAATGATCTGTACTTGACTACTGTCTGTCTTGTTAAGAATATATCTCAACCACTTCTTTTATCAACATACCAGTTTCATGTAAGCTCTTCAGAGTCTTGCATACAGCAGATCTTCCACTAATATATGGAGTTATTTGCATGGAATGTTCTTGGCCAATCAAAACTTTGATTTCTTCATGTTTGTTTTGTGGTATTTCAGTTTCAGGAGCCTCACTACTATCACTGTTGCATAGTGTTTCCCACTGTTTCTGTAATTATTTCTGATACAGTATATTGCCTCCGCTCATGTAAATAGCTATTCTTGTTCTGTGCTGCTTTCTATATGCAAAATTTTTTTGTGCATTCCACAAGCTCCCACCCTTATGGAATTGACTGATTCCAATGTATCTTGCATGCAAATCATCATGCGACAACCCTCCACCAATAACAGCACGACACACTCTCTTGAAGCATGTTTGTTTTATTAAACTGGTACCAGTAAGGATTTAGTAAAGGTTTTATTTAGCCTTCTAGAGTACTAAATATCTATCTCATCTCACATTCAAACACTTGAAAAAGTTACTGATGTTCTTTCTCTTATACTCTTAAGTCCCTCTTTTTATTAAGGTAACAGCTGTTTTTTTATTTATTTTTTAAAAATTCCATTCACAGCCAGCTAGTGATCTAATTGCATGTGATTCAAACATTCATTGTCTTTATTATCATTACACGATGGAGACATATTGTATACAAAGCCTTGGTAAAACGTTTATAGCTGTCTTTTTTTTTTAATTCCAATAGCACAGTAGCTTATAGTTAAAACAGTCAACATTTGAATTTCACATAAATAACAATCAGCCTATTCCTAGGCGTAGTTAGTGGTTTCAATAATTTTGGGTATGTTTGAATAACATATAGTCTTGGAGCATGCCCAGTGTTACCATAAAAGCTAATTTTAGCAATTCATTGTCCAACTTTATTCATTTGGTTAATTTTCCTGGCGAAATACTTAACTCATTTAATTTTTTTATCTGTGGAGATAAAACTTTAGATCTCAAGAAGTTTGAGAACCATATTTATAAGATAGAACTTTGTGTGATATATGGAGGGTATGACAGAATGGAATATAAGTCAGCAGTATATCATAATAATAACTATTTGTCCATCAAGAGGTAAGTTAAGTTCCATCTACATGTAAATATATACAAAATTTGGCTTCAAGCTTGAATTAAATGTCTATGAATTGAATGTATTATCTTTCATGGGACTATCGATTTTGATAAGTATTAGCTTACATCTTAATTCCAAAAGGAAAGTACATATCTACTATAAAATTAAATATCTAATAAAAATAACTTGTATTATTTAGTTCTAACCTAAGGTGATGTACAACTCGCGGAAACATTTAAGAACAGACGAGAAAATTTGGAAATCAACTAATAGATGTAAATGTGAAAAGGCTGACAGAAACTGTTCATATGCCCAAAGGGTTTCTGAGGAATGCAAAGTTGTATGTGTAGATAAAAATGAAACAACTTCCCAAAATGAGCAAGATGTTAAGCAAAGTTTAGGTAAGTGTGCTAATCATGTTAAAGATTGAGTATTTTTAAGCTTGCATGTTCATTGGATTTTTTTTCAAATAATTTCTAACTCATTTTTTTATATAAATGGGTGAAAACTAGAAGGGAAATGCATTATTTTCATTATTACTACCTTCATATTAGTACCAAGAGATATTTAAATTACCATAGTATGCAGTTTTTCTTTTTGTAACTTTTTTATTTACAAGTTGTTTCTAACTTTTATATTTTCTTTAAAAATGCATGAGTTCCAATATATAACATTAGGAGCATAATTCACTGGTAATTCAGTTTTACAGTTACTTAGATAATTATGTTTATGTTAGAATTTAGCTCATGTTTTATATTGCTAATTATTTTGTATTTTTAAAAACTATAAAAGCAATAAAATTATTTGTTAATGTATTTTGTTATGAAATATTTGATGTATCCATTTTGGTATTGCAAGATTATAATGCCGATAACAACTTTAGGGGGGAGGGAAAAAAGCCAGAGGGTGAAAAAGCTAATGTAAGAAATTCACTGTAGAGTATTAAATAAAATAACAGTATCAAGCCTACCTGAAAATTAATAATAATGAGAAACTAGTGTTGGTGTATTTTTTGTAGGTGCAGTGTTTTTGCAATACAGTGAAATATGAATAATTTTACCATAAAAGAAAAGTGGAGGAAAAAGTATTGTTACGTCTCTGCTCGTTTGTTCATTTGCGGTATAAATTCTTTCCGAGGAACTTTAGGGATACAAGTCCTTTCTTAATTAAAACT